CATCCATCCATCCATCCATTCGGACAGCCTGGGGAAATTTGGACACCTAAGAAAGTGATGTGATTCATACAGAAGGGGAAGGGTACTGTAAGGGCTGCCACCTCTAGACTGTTGGTGTTTAATGGGAGTATGGAGGATTTGTTCCAGTTTATTCACATCAGAGAAACTGGAGAATTATTTGATGACTGATTTTGTGATAATGGTAGATTCCAAATAAATGGTAAAACATCATTGTCATAGAGGCTGATTTTATGGTGCATGTTGTGGATATGAATTCCTGTGTTGAGGGGGTTCTGATGAATGGCTGCTGCTAGGGTTTCAATGAAAATTGTGAGCAGGGATAGTAATATTTTTGTACAAAAAGACGATTCTACTGGGTTCCATATGGAGACAGAGAGGTGAAATGTAAGAGTTCCCTTTATCCTTTTATCCTGGTGGAGTAAAGAAGGATAGGATGTTAAAAGCCTCAGTGGGAAACTTGTAGACCCAACCGGACTCAATTGTTTTCTAAGAAAAGGAAGGTCTGCAATATTTCCATTTCATCAAAAGAAATTGCTGGGGTAAGAATCGCTATAAAGTTGCAGAGGATAGACCCCATCCATCCATTTTCATTCATGTGATCCCTGCTGGGGTAGCGAGGGGTTCTGGTGCCTATCTCCAGCTGTCAATGGGTCAGTGGCAGTGTGCACCCTGGATAGGTCACCAGTTTTGTCGGAAAATTTAGATTTCTCTTCTATTATATGTTAATTTATCCAATTTACTCACTATAAAAGTTTTCACTCAGTCTGTTTCTCTCTCAAGGCCACACAATTATCTGCAGATTGGTGTTTGTAGACCAGACATAGCTTCTTCCCATAACAAACCAGATTCTTTCTCAAGCTTTATTCATAACATGTTACTGTTAACCAAAGTGTCTGTAATTTGTTTTGACTCTGACTGCTTTTCATTGTTGTAAGTAAGGGGGAATGAACGGTGCTCAGGCAGAACAGGGAAGAATGCTGTGCCATTAGGGCTGTATGATGAACTGTTCTCTCTTTGCAAAGATATAAATAAATGTGCCGACTGAGTGAAATCCATCGATCTTGGTTTATTTAAAAAGAGTGAATAGTTGAATACTTTGTTCCCACGACACTAGTTTAACTTAGGGCAAAGCAGACACACAGGACAAACAGCCATTACACCTAAGGAGAATTTATAGAAGCCAATGACCCTAACAGTCATGTTTTTTTGGACTGTGGGAGGAAGCCTGAGTACCCGGAGAGGACCCACGCATGCACAGGGAAATTAGGCAAACTCCATGCAGAAAGACCCCGGGCCGGGAATAGAACAAGGAACATTCTTGCTGCAAGGCAGCAGTGCTACCCACTGCCGCACTGTGCAGCCGGGATAGATCCCCAGTGAAAAGCTTTATTTTGTGCTGATGAAGAACAGGGAAGGTCTGGAGTTACACAATAAATGTAAATACAGTCATGCGAGACAGAAAGATGTGAAGACAATAAAACTAGGAGTCTGAATGCTCCAGTTTGGTTTTATCAAAAATTTGTCAAATCTATAGAAAAAGCCATATTTTTAGATGCAGTTTAAGCTTTGCTCTCTGAGGCTGTTGAACCTCTGATGTTCTGGACTGACCCCACTCTCATCTTTGCTGCGTCTCACTAAGAAAAGCTGGATAACAGAAAAAAAGCTGCGTGGTTATTTTCAGCAGCAGATGATTTCACACTTTTAGTAGTCGCTTGTTGACAGCAGTAACGAAGCGAGCAAGCAACGTGGCTCACTCATGTGTTCCTAATAGCTTTTTGGACGACCCAGAGGAAGATGATCGATCGTGCTTCAAAACACACAATCAACATCTTGAATAATTTATTGAGGCTTTAGTGTTGTAATGAGATTTCTTTAGCATCTCCAGGTTTTTCCTTCTGTGCAGTGTGTTTACTGTTACTAGCTGTTTGATGACAGACCAATCTGATTTATTATTCATATTTGTCTCATTAAATTACACGTGTGAGCAAATAATTGCCTATTTAAGCAGCCATCAAACAACATAAGCATTGGTTTGGATGTGCTATTAGAAGGCTGATCAATTTTAATTCAATTCACGTTCCTATTTGTGCTGCTTTCTTCTTCTGTTTGATGCTGATAAAGTGTGTCATTATTAGAGCTTCAATATCCCTGACAGTGACTTCATTCATTTTCAGTGCAAAATGTCTGAAATTAAAACATTATTTTGGGGAATTCTGACAGTTCTTGCAGTTGTGGTCAAAAACAAGCTGTCTGGATTTTGCACAAAGTTGTGTAAGTAATTCTATATGCATTTTCTAGTAACTATGCAGAGAAGTGAGCCCTCTCAAAGAACCCAATATCTGAGGATGGAACTGGACTCCAGGGCAGAGATGAATCTGACTTTTTAGAAAAGAGAAAAGAAGGTGATGCAACTTTTTCTGCAGCCTCCAAAGCCCAGAGGGCTGAACTGAAGAAACTTTAAAAGTTCTTAGTAAAGATTTGGAGCTGCTGGATTCTTACACAGAGCCATATATCATTAAAAAATATTGTTTGTTTTACCACTGTTCAAAAGCCCTCTGGCATCTATTGATTATTTACAGTTCACCTCCAGTTAGGCAGATTTAGCTTAGATAATGATCTTGATGGACCATTTTCCAGAGAACTTTAAGGTTTTCTCAATTTTTTTACTTATTTTTAATCATCTCTGAGTTCAGCAACTAAACATTTCCTTTGAATAATTTTCTTTGTTCAGACACCTTCTACCAAATTAGTCCACTCATTTCTGATGGGGCTGCTAAAGTCCATTGCTTTACAGCTACCAGGCTGCAGTTTCAGATGCATCCATTTCTAACCACATCTGATGACTGGCATTCTGAAAAGCTGAATGACTGATTGATGATTCAAGCATTTGCTTTTTTAATCCCCATTTGGAGAAATTCACCTACACGATAGCAAAGTTAAAAACATATAAAATAGGATAAAAATGCAAAATTAGATTAAAAAATAAAAATAATAATAAAAAAACTCAGTCCTTCAAGAGACATAAAACAGTCTCATGGCAGCCAGGACAAAAGATCTTCTGTGATTTTACATTGCAAGGGGTACATGAAAATATTTTATTTATAAGTATTGAAAAATAAAATTTTTTCTTATATGCTTGAGTTAACCAAAACCAAGCAGAGGAACAGACTGGATGTAGAGAACAGTCTGGGATCAGCTGTTTTTCACAATGAGCCATAGGAGCTCATCAAAGCAGCTCCGGTGTCTTGATGAAAACAAAGTGAACTAAAGTTAGTTTGACTATAATTTTTGTTCAGCATTTTGTTCCTAATTCATCAAGTTTAAACATGATTACAAGGGAGTTACTCAGAA